AAACAGAGTTCTTTCTTATGAAAAAGAGCATCAAAATAAAAATAATAATAAAAAAAGAAACAAGGCAGAAGTGTTTGGAAAGGAAAGAAAGGACAATGAGGACTGTGGATTGTTGTATACAGAAGTAAAATCAGCTGTTTGTTTGGCTGCCTGAGAAACCCATGTTGAAGCTCTAACTCCACACAAGTCAGAACTACAACTCCCTCTCTCACAGAGTACTTTGTCCCAGTCTTGAATGTAAATTACAATATAATAAAGCATGCTCTTACTTTTGGTCAGGGTTACCAGCACTCTGGCCACACAATATCAACAATCATACCTTGTCTTACTAAATCACGAAGCTGCTAGTTTCTAAGTTAATGTTTTACAACTGCATCCACTTTCACCTTCAAAGTTTATTTCTTCTTCAGCATCTCCAAATTGTCAAGATAACATCAGGCATTTTGTTCCTTACATTTGGAAGAGATATTATCAGATTAGATCAGTTCCCACTGGTCTACCTCATATCTTGCAAAAGGGGGAAAAAGATGTAAAAGGGGGGGGGGAAGAAAAAAAAAGGGAAAAGAAAAGAAATGCACAACTCTAGGATAGAGTTTCAGTTTAGTCGTTTTCAATACTCCTCACTGCACCTTTAACCCAGGAACATTCGGAGACCTGAACTAAACTGAAATCCATCACCAGAAAGAAAGCAATATAAAACTTATAGGATTCTGATTATTTATTTACAACACATTTTGAGCATTCTCATATTGCAAGCTACATTCTGATTAATATAGTCCAGGATCTATTACTGATTTAAGACAGAGAACGTGGTGCCTCAGTGATATACTGTAAATCAAGTTCTCATTTTAGGTAAGCTCATAAGGGAAGGGTCACTTTGGTGAACAAGCTAAGATATATCTTAATGGAGATTCTCCCTTCTTCCCATTTACTATCAGAGAGGCCAAATTCTCCAGCCATCATGGATGACATAACATTCTTATGGGAATTTCAGCTGTAGCTAACACTAGAAAATAGTACAAAGAAGGTAGGTATGAAATAAGTATGAAAATTTCATTTATCTTACTCCTTTTCAATGCAATTTATTAAGTGGAACCAAGAGGGGGAAAAAAGAGTATCTTACAACCAGTTCCACACAGATACCAGTACCAGAAGCACTGCATTACGGTTTTGCAAAGGAAAAACATCTTTTTCAAAGGAACTTTAGAGAGGAGTATGTTTAAAGAGAGTATGTTTAAAAAGTATACTTGTTTAAGGAAAGAAATAAGATTATGTTTTTAAAAAAAGACATCAAAATAGACAGCAAAATAGACATTCACAAGATGAGGCAAGAACATTACAAGGCCTTGTAATTTTTTTAGTCCTTTACACCTTTAGCCTCTCTAATACCCCATGGCAATAAATACCAATGATGAGTTATATGTTGTATAAAAACTCTGACCTTTGCTTGATAATTACATTTAGTGCTTCTTTTTGTTTTATGAGAGACAATGTACAACCGCTGCTCAGTTTCACCTTTTCCATTCCATTCCTCACTTCATGGACTTCTACCATATCCTCCACAACTGCTTCTTCTCCATACTGAATAATCCTAGTATGTTTTAGGTTTTTCCGCAAAAGCTAACAAGTCTAACTGGTTTTCTTTAGTACAACTAATAGCACTTCTGATGGTCTCTTTTTTTTGTCTCCTTCCTGAGTCATAATAGCTAATCCATAGCTTATTGTTCTATACATTACAATAAAATAACTTCTGACTCTGTGATTGCTCAACAACAGTAAAAGTTTCTTTAGAAAGAAAATAATTAAACGTATTTTATAACTTCTACCTAGACCTTTGACAGACAAAAGTACGAGGATGTTGACTGTTCTGTTAAAGCTCCCTAGACTTATTCAAATACAAATTTAAATTAATTACTTCCTACAGGACACTTGTCTGGTGAACTTGTAATGGACAGCCCGCAGAAGTAAGCCTAGCAAAGAGAAGAATAGCAGGCTCCATGAGTACCAAGACCCCACAGACAGACAATGCTTCTCCCATTCCAATCATTGTTCTAACCAATTTTGACACTTGAATCCAAGCATCAAATTTTCTGGTACCTTTTCAAAAAGAGAAAGCAACCATGGAAAATGAAGACTGTGCAAGGAATCAAAAATAAGTACCAACAAAGCAAACCTACAAGACCGCCTCTCTAAGAAGCTGACTTAATCCTACTCCTTAAAAGCTATCCTTTCGCAAAATGAGGCATTCACACCAGAGAAGCAGACACTTGCTGATATAAGCTTCAAAGCAGCAGCTTGCTGGGTAACAGGCACTGTTGTGTGCTGCCTCTGTTCCTCTGCCAGAACTATTTATTTATATTCTTGTTTTGAAGCAGACTGGGGCTGTCCATTTTGGATCTGGCTCTCACAGACTGTTTATCCCTGTTGCCACAGCCTCAGTGATGGTGTCCAATTTCTTAACCTTCATCAGTTTTCACTGACCCCCTCATGACACACACTTTTTCTCTTCTGAAATGTTTTAACAGTTCATCATAGCCACCCGTTACAACCCTGCCATATCAGCTCATGTTCCTCCTATCGTTTTCCCTTCCCAGCAGTCCTTCTTTCCACAGCCTGCACACAGCTAAATATACAAAACACAGCACTTGAAGGAACCATGTGCCACAAACTCGGTGGAGCATAGCTCCACCTATTTGCCAGGACAGCACAGTGAATTTTAAGGAGAGACCCACAGGTCCCCAAACAAATGGCTGGAAAGTACCCAAAGGCCTTATGAGCAGTAATTGCACACGATAAGGAGTTAGTTACTTAGCCGGGACACTGTTCTTTGTAAACTAAAAATTGCTCACCAGAGATTACCTTTCTACCTAAAGAGCCTCTCTGATCTTACACCTCATAACGGCAAAAAAGTTTTGCTTAGTTGTTGTCCTCAAGATCCCTGGCCACAGTCCTCTAATAATCACAGTCTCCCCGATTCCCTTTCCCTTTCTACCTCAGTCTCTCTCTCTCACAACTCTGCGTCCCCTAGAGAAAACCTTAATCCTCTTTTCATCCCCCAACACAACATAATTCCTTCTTTAGTCGAAGTAAATCCTTTGTTAACCTTGGGGTTATGTGGGGTAAACGAGAAGGCACCTTCGATCCTGAGGCAGCCATCTTTTTTTCTGGAGGCAATCGATCCTCATGGAATTGATTTCCTGGGGTCTTTCCTGATCCCTGCTGAGAAATAACTACAGCACTATTCTGGCTAACAGTGGCCCCGGGCTAGCAGGAACAGAGAGCCCCGGGCAGCCTCAGCAGCGGGGGGACCCTCGGGCTCTGCCCACGCAGATCCCTCGGGGCTTAAACCCAAGCGAGGGTGAAACGCACCCACCGCCCCAGGTTTGATGGGGTTTTCCTTAGTATCCCCCTTGATGGGAGCACTCCATGATAGGATCCCAGCCCGAGGCACCCTGCGCTCGGGGAAGCGCTCCCTAGCGTCTTCGCGGGTTTTTAATACAATTATTTTTTAATAAGATCAAGCACATCCGTTACTCGGTACCATCACCGCCCTTAGACGCCGAGGCTGAGGGCAATGCTGCCTGCCGGGCGCATCCCCTGCTTCTGCTGTGCCGGTAACCGGACACCCCTTGTCCTGGAGCGTCGCCGGTTCACGGCCGCCCCCTCCGAAACCGGAGGTCACCCCCCGCTCAGCGCCGCAGAGGCACCTGTTAGGAGCAAACAATCTCCCACAGCTCCCCTTCTACTTGAGGAGAAGGGGAGGACGGCGCGACACCGGCTTGCAGCGCCCGCCACCTCCGGCTCCGCCGGGGCCGCGGCGAGATACGCCGCGGGCTCCGCAACCCCAGCCCCGTCCTCCTGGGAACAGCGGCATCCCCGCGCCACGCAAAGGGTGTCTCGAGCAGGGAGGGCACTGCTGCATTAGATCGGGGAAATAAAAATAAAGCAGGGAGGGAAGGCGGGTTAAGGAAGTTAGGCGTTGAGAAGGGGGGAGGGGGGGGAAGCATGCTGGGTTTGGATGCCCCCACCTCTGATCTGCTTTTGAGGCTGCTCCTTTTAGGTCTGAGCAGGACATCTTTAAAGTCCAGCTTGATGTCCGCGTCTACCCGGGGCATCTCGCTGGGGTGGCGGGGTGCGGGGGCCGGGACTCTCCTGGCGGCACAGGCGGCGGCGGCAGTGGCGGCCCCGCTGCGCTCCGCTGCACCGCGCCCCTGCAGAGCCGCGCCGAGCCGAGCCGCGCCGGCCAAAGCCCGCGAGCCCCGCACCGAGCGTATTTATAGGGCGCGGACACAGGGCCCCATCGCTTTATTAGGAGAGGGCTGTTTTTAGCCGGGCAGCCGGCCGGCTCCTGCCCCTTCTCCCGCCGCAGCCCCCCCGCCTCTCTGCCGGGCTGTGTGCGGTGGGGGGGGGCAGACGGGGACGCGGTGCCCGCCCGCAGCCGCCCCATGCGGAGCGAGGCACCGGCGGCACCGCGGCGGCCTTAAGGGCAAAGCAAGGGCAGAGGAAGTGGCGCCTCCATGTGACCGAGCGGGCGGCTTGTGCCGGGCGTGGGAGCCCGGCGGTGCTGATGCCGGTGCGGGGCTGATCGGACATCTTGGCCGCCCACCACTCCCACCGCCCCGGGCGTGGGCTAGCGGCGCTCCTCGGCGTTGTCACGGCTGCTGCAGCAAGGCCCAAAATGTTCTGCCTCCAGGCATATAAAAAGGCAGCACTTGCTCTTCCTTGTCTCAGGTGGGAATCCGACTTCCCGGGGTGCTTTGCTCTGAGCCCGAACCTGGCCTGCTACCTGCCCATGGTAAAATTGAGTCAGAGCTCAGCTTCTGGGGCTCTCCAGCTGGCTCCCCATCGGACTGAAGAGCAGAGCAAGAGCCGCAGTGTGGTTTTGGCCTTAGAAACGTTGAGAAATGTGCAGCTGGTTGGTCATAGAAGAGTGGTCACAGCACCAGCCACCTGCAGCTGCCTCTCCACGTTAATTTCCTATTTAGTGCACTCAGAGAAGCAACGTGGAGCTTTGCTTTTTTGTGCCCTTTTTTTCCCCCCTCAGCATGCAGGAGCCTGATCTGTGACTTTATTTGCTTCTTTTTCAGTGGTTAGCCACAGTTCAATATGCAGTCACAAACCCCTAATAGCAACAGGACTGCATGTGCTGAGTCCATCTGTAAATGCTGGCACATGTATCAATACAGGTTGCCAGATAACACATGAGATGACTTCCACAGGAGCTTTGAGCCTTAAAGTCTACTTAATTATGAAGTTAGTAGGTTGTAAGATTTGGAATTCTTTGGAAGACACATGAACTAAGCCGTGTTAATGACTGAAAACTGAAGCGTGGGAGGATAATGACTGGCTCCCCTTCCTCAGACACTTTGCAGGATCAGTTAGTGCTCTCTTTATCTGAAAGCTGCACACGTCTGGTCAACACCCTGCCTCCCACAGAGCTCTTTTACACCTCCTGTGTAAAAGATAATCCGGTATGACCAAGCATGAGCCCAGAGCTTTACACAGGAGGCAGGGCTTTTGAATGCTTGTAGTTTTGAATGTCCAGTTTGAGAGGCCTTGAATCTTGTTTCCAGGAAGCCTTGAGGCTTTGGAACTCCAGATGATGGTCCAGGAGAGCCTTGCCATTGTGAGTGTTTCCCACAGAAATATTCAGGTGAAACAGGAGACTTTATAATTAGTCTCATCTGCATAACTGAGGCCATTCGCCTAGTGTTTTCTCCATTGGCTTTAACAGTATAACAGAACTATTAAAATATATTCTTCACACAGACAGATGCATGTGCCACCATTTACTGTTAAATACTAAGAGTACGGATGAAAATGGGTCCTGTGAAAGTGGCATGTCTGTAGCAGAGGATTGAGAATGGAAAAAAACAAATGTCTTCTGTCCGTGCTTGGCACCATGTCTTCTCTTTGCCCTCATGGCAGGCATGTGATGCTGAGAAGAAAGAAGCCACTGCGCTGCACTGTGGGTTCAAAAGGTCAACACTGTTGTGAAGAGTAGGAGATTGAGGCTAGCAGTGATACATGTAAGCCCCGGAAAATCCATGCCTGAAGCTGTTTATCGTTTCCAGTATTTTTAGTTTCTTCTCGCAGTGCTATTTTTCTGCAGCTTAAAGTATCTGCTAATAACCAATATTTCCCCACGTACACATACCAACAGACTAGTCAGGTGTCTCTGATCAGCTTCACTGTTCTTTAAAAGTTTACAAAGTTCGAAATTGTCCAGTTTGTTACTTCAAGATATGTTTTCTGTGATTAAAATTATGTTTTCTTGCAGAGCCACCTCTTTCTTTTTCAATGTCCTTTCTGAAGCATGGACATGGTCAATAATCACATTAATATCATAGCCAGAAATGAAGATCACCTCTTATGTATCTTTGCTATTCCTCTTTATACCTGCAGTGATCCCATATTATGTCTTTGTGCAATGGGAGGAAAAGCTGTTCAGACAGGCGGTATGCAGTTTCAGTATTTATCCTTCAAGTGCAAATGAGCCATCACTGATTTCAAAATTAGCATATGTAAATAATTTGTTACTTTCCTTCAGAGTTCTTCTTTTCTCTACTTCATTGTTTTATGTTTATACTTAAAAGCAGGTGGAACAATGCACTCAGAGGAGGCATGCTCAGCCAGTGCAGCTGAAAGTGCTAGTGTAGCTTTGTAGGTTTTCTAAACCAGGTGTTTTTGAGAAGAGGAAAAAGTGATCATTATAATGCAAATAGTTATTACTGTGTCTCAAGCCTATTATTAGCTAAGAGTTATCATTGACCTTGTGTTTTTCATCCTCTTATTGTAATTGTAAATACTGCTGTATTTCATAATATAAATTAGTTCACAAATGGGACCTACTAACAAAGGACATGGAAGAGGCTGAGGTACTCATTGGCTTATTTGCCTTGGTCTTCCCTGGTAAGATTTGCCACAGGATTTCCAGGCCCCTAAGACCCATCAGAAAATGAAGAGCAGCAAAGACTTACCCTCAGTAAAGCAGGATCAAGTTGGGAGAGGGGAAGTTCCTGAGAACTCGGAAAAGCAATTACCAGTCCTGTCTTTGAGAAGAGCAAGAAGGAGGGAGGATCTGGGCCTGTCAGTTTCACTTCAATGCCTGGGAAGGTCATGGAGCAAATAATCCTGTAAACCATTTCCAAATGGATGAAGGACAAGAAGGTGACTGACAGTAGTTGTCATGAGTTTATGAAGATAAAATCAGCTCACCTGATTACCTTCTAAGATGAAATAACTAAGATGAGGAGAGAGTAATGCATGTTGTTTATTTTGACTTTGGCAAGGCTTTTGACAGACTCTGAATGACATTTTTGTAGGCAAACCCATGAAGTTTTGTGGACTAGCTAAAAGGACAATGGAATGGACTGAAAACTGACTGAACTTCTGGGCTCAAAGGATTGTGATCAGTGACACAAAGTCCAGCTGGAGGCCAGCTATTTGTGGTGTACCAGGTTAATTGTATATGGCATTAAAAATACCTCTTATCAATGCTTAGTTTTCTTTTAATTTAAATAAGAACACTTCCTCATTAACTCCTTGGTACTGAAAAAAGCATTCAGTGATAACCTTAAAATATGAGCACTTCTGAGCACCAGAAACACCTCTAGGGTGAATGCTTAATGAGGTTGTCATTGTCAACAGAAACTAGTCACAGCAGATGCACAGCTAACACAACTGAAGGCTGAAGGCCCATGCTGACTTTCTTGCTGTGGTTCCTAGGAATATACTATAGCCTCGTAGAGCTTAGCCTGTAGCGCAGACAGCCTCTAACATAATTAGCATGCCTGTTTAAGGAGCATGGTGAGCAGTAGTGAAAGCATTGCTCAGCTGGCAAGCGTTCCCACAAATTGGGTGTCACAACTTCCCAGCAAAATCCCATATCTGGAAAGAACAACATGTTGCAGGACACGTGCGATGAAGATCTTTCACTGTTAAGGAGAAGCAGTACATTTGAGGAAAGAGCCTTGTTTTTCTTATGAGAAATGTAAATCACTTGTATTATTGTTTGAGTTTGGGCCTTTTCCACACTGAATAGCATTTCCCAGTGGATGGATTAAGAAACCTAACTCAGCAAACCCTCTAAACACAAACAGATTTCCTTGGGTTGCACAGATAAGGACGTTTCGGTGAACTATCGCTGCTGTTGCAGCATCTGCACTAAGGCTTTTGCTGGCATTGATAGCCACCAGAAATGGGAGAAGTGGAGGTGATACCCCTGCCTTTCATAGCTGTGCCAAGCAGACTTCAACTACATGTGTGAAGAGCACTTGTTATGAAGAAACTTATATGCCAGAAGTATTTTCATTGAATTCAAAGGTCTTAGAGTAATCATAGTCACTAATTATAAACTGAATCCCAGGCCCACGCTGAATTCAGTAGAACAACTTCTCATTCAAGGTACAGTTTACTTAGGAGTAAGTGACATTATCCATTTCCATTTGATTTCAGCAGGTTTCAAATGATAATTATAAGTAATCACAGCAATTTTTAATTAAATGAAACTCTGACATTCATTGGCTTATGAAATGTGCTTAGGGTCTCTCTGTGCTGATAAATAAAATGGACCACAGCAATCTGTCCCTGCAAGGGCTCACATGTAGCCATTTAGATACCATATGTGAACTTCAAGGGATTTCGCTCATACTGCATATTGGAAACAGTCTGATGCTGTTCCCTGAACTGTCAGACTACCTGGAGGAATGGTAGCTGTCTGGGTTGTTCAGGGGAGTGTGATTCTAATTCAAGAGTATGAACCATTGCGTGGTAGAGCTTATGGCCAGATCCATGCTCAGGTCCAGTTCGGTTTACTGTAGGGCTTAACTGCCACAGAAAAGGTCTGTAGATTTTATTTAAATGGTCAAGACCTGTTGTATGCTGTCCATTGTGAACTGATATTTCTGTACATTACAAAAGTACAGTCCTACATACTGTAAAAGACAGATTATCTCAATGGAAATGTTAAGTCATTTTACAGGATGTAACAGGTATTCTGTTGCTGCTACATAGATTTATATGTGGAAGCAGCCTCTCCTCTCTGGTGCCCACTGGGAGAATGAGAGCAATGGTCACAAACTGAAACACATGAAATTCTACTTGAACATCAGAAACCACTCTTTTTTCCTGTGAGGGTGGTAGAAAGCTGACAGAGGTTTCCCAGAGAGGTTGTGGAGTCTCTGTTCTTGGACACATTCAGAACCTGACTGGACGCTGTCCTGGGCAACCTGCCCTGGCTGACTCTGCTTGAACAGAGGTTGGACAATGTGATCTTGAAAGGTCCCTGCCAACCTCAGCCACTTTGTGATTCAGTGATTCCATACATTACTTTGTTGTTACAGAGAATCTTCCCCTGCAAGATCTCAGGAGCCTTTAAAAATTTTGATAATTACATAGTTTATTTGATGGTCATTTGATAGTCAAATTATTAAAGCTCATTTGCATAAGAGAAAGACATGAAGGAAAAATTTAAGGATGAAGCAAAATCCTATTCAAGTTACAGGTCTGAAACTCTGATTATGATTTCACACTGGCTTTATAGCAGAAAAATGCTACCGACTTCAGTGGAGTTGTCCCAACTTAATACTACTGCAGGGAGAAATAAGCTGAGGAGTAAACTCATCAGAGACAAGTGACAAACGTTGATTTAGCATTTATAACAAGTTGAGTTCAGGCAACAAATATAGTGGACTCACTCCCATTAGGATCATCAGGATTTGTTCCCACCAAAACCTGATGAATCTGGTCTTGAGTTGTAAGCCCTCCTGGCCAAAATTATACAGAGGGTGATTTTCAGAGTTGGTGTTAAAACCAAAAAGGAGTTCTCAGCTCTCATCTCAGGGCGTGTTCACCCTGGCAGAGCTCCATGTCATGCTCTCTTTTGGAGCTCCGCCTCTGCTCTCATGAGGTTTTGTCCGCCTTGTACACACATTGCCTGCAGGCCCACAAAGTCAATCCTTCATCAGCCCTTTCTTAGCCACTACCAGTGTGGTTATCCATAACACCACAAAACTTAATACGGAAGGGGCTCTTGGGTAACAGACTCTATCCTTTTTCCTTACATCTCTGAAAAAGTTCCTTGGTGTCGCATTTGTGGCTCCTTGGACTCCTTTTGGGAGGGATAGGATTTTCTAGGGCCTTTTCTGTTTTCCTCCTTCCGAATCTTGCTTTGTCTGTGGAACCTATGTTTTTGCATCTATTTTCCTCTAAAGTCATTAGACAGCCTGACTACTTGACCTCACCATCTCAGTTTGAGGAAGTGAAGGTTTTTTGTCTTGGCTGGACATAGGCTGATATATAAGACTATTGTAAAAGATACTAGAGAAAATAGCAATTCCAGTGAGGTAGCAAAACTGCCTCAGTAAATAAGGAATTATATTTACAAATAAATAAATAAAAGCAATAGTGCACAATTGCAGAGCGGCTGAGAAGAACGCAGCAAAAATGAACTTATGGTGTTGCCTGTGTACCAGTTGATGATTTTTTGTCAGCAAATCACCTACTGTCATGACAGCGCATCAGAATTTCGCCATGTTACAAACCTGACTCAACTGGGGCTGGCCATACCCTTTCCTTCCCTCAGTGTTTGCACTCCAAGTTGGATGCAGGCTTGCACCTGAAGTTCATCCATTAATTCTAGCCAAAACCTCCCAAGAATCCATTTCCCATTCAACCAGCTCATTTAAATAGAGGAAAATACTGAATTCAAGAAGCAATTTTGCACAAGTGTTTTTCTCAACCAGCAGCTGATTTTAGAGTATGCAAAGAGCAGTCACAGCACTGCTGGGGGGGACAGTGCAAATAATAACATTGCTGTTGGCCTCTTTATTTTTTATTTTTAATTTACCTATATCAATGTGCAGCTTCCTTCATAATAACATGTTTCATGTGGAGTTAGTGAATTATAGGCTTATCCGTCATATCATGTTACTCAGGATCAAGGTAGTTAACATAGAAAAGAAAATAATATGTAGTTCTCTTGTACTTAACACCATTGATTTAGTCAGTCCCTCAAGCATAAGACAGACTAAGGTCCTGAAAGTCCATTTCCTACCTATGCAAAGGAGTCAGGACATTGTCTGTTTTAACCCTGGCAATAGTATTTTTTTTTTGTTTTGGTGCTCAAAGCCTGTTTGAGTAAGTACACTGCCACTTCTATATGATAGAAATGAAAAGCACTTTAATTAAAAGAAACCAAACCCATTATATAACCAAATGGCATTTTCTTTATTTTCTGGGCTTTCCTTGACATTTTTGTATTGGGTGAAAATCTTGCTACAAATTTTAAACTGGAGAAGTGTTTCTAAACTGTGAACATCTGATAATAACTAGCTTTCAAACCCAGTTTAATCTTTAGAAAAGCTTAACAACTTTGCTGCCCTACGGCACCATCTACAGGCAAAAACCCCCATGTTAATAGTACAAAATGATAGAACTGTTTTAAACACTTTCTTTAATCATTGCAATTAATACGTAAACCTGGAATTTTTCATTTTTCATCTTAATTAATATGCATTTATTTATTTGTAAATATAATTCCTTATTTACTGAGGCAGTTTTGTTACCTCACTGATGTTACTATTTTCTCTAATGTCTTTTACAAAATTCTGATAAATCAGCTCATGTCCAGCCACGTCAAAAGACCTTCATTTCCTCAATTTCTGTTTAAAATTACATTTCCCACAATTTAAAATACCTTGTACGCTTTGACCAGGGAGTTTTGCTTCTGCAGAACTTGCTTTTATTTGGATCTTATCATGGGGAAATAGAAAAAAAATTGGCTTGATCCTTTATTACAGTTTAAGCATTTAATGGGATGTAGATAAAAGCTGCTTCATTTATCAGCTGTCACACACTTTTTCATAAAGACACCTACACAGGGATTATGATTAACATCAACTCGGTTGTCACCACTATGCCTTTTTTACCCATGATTCCTCACTGGCTAAAAGTTAAAGATATTCTTAAAATGACCTAGAAAATGCTGCCTCCCTTTCCCACAGCAAATAAAACCCTGCTAAATATTCTCGTATATCATTATGATAAAATGGGAAGGGAAAATTTAATGCCTGAGCTTGTGAAATGTGCTCTAGTTTTGCAAGGCTGTTTAAAAAGTGCAGATTATTAGCATGCGAGGCCAAAGTAGCTGCACATTTGTAGCTGTGTTGGCTTATATCTAACATGTGGTTTGGGTGTCGATATTTCAGTAATCGAATAGGAAAAATATAACGTGAAACTGATGGACCAAGTCTCGTGAACAGCCCTCCTCATTTTTAGGGAGAAAGCAGACCTTTTTTAGTTGTTCTCACCTTCCTGTGAACACACATGTTTAAAAAAATTATATTAAAATGAAGTACTGTTCTTAGTAGTGATAAATAGATATATGCATTCTGTCAATAAAGTTTAAAGGAATTTAAGAGATTTTGTTCAGGTAGGAGAACAAGGGGCTAAACTCAAGATCACTTATTCACTTGGATTTTAGTCTCATATGTAGT